GGACTTACAGGTGGCCCAACTGGCCCGGGCTGTCCTGGAGTTCCTTCAGGTCCGGCTGGTCCAGTGGGCCCTGGCGGGCCAGGGGGCCCCGGGGGACCTTGGATTCCCGCTTGTCCTTGTTCACCCTGAGGTTCGTTAAAACAAGGGATTACCAGGAGGCAGCACAAACCCTCCACACGCCCCCCCAAGGGCCCACGGCAGGTCAGCCTGGCTGAAGCAGAAGAGGTAGAAGCAAGTCCCAGGTTAGAGCCAGGAGAGGTTTCCAAGAGCCCCGCTGAGGATGGCCGGGCTGCTGGGCGGCAGGGGCCAGCAGCCTACGGTTTGCAAAGACGTCTGAGGCCACCTTGTCAGAGCTCTCTTTAAAAGGGATCTAGAGGTGACTGAGTGGTCCAAAGAGACCTTTTCCTTCGTGAGTCAGTCAAGTACAATTCCTATCTCAAGGCCCAACATCTCCTGAGCTTCCCAGGAGGCTTCCCAAAGCACTTGACAGTCACATGTGCGTCTAAGCCTCCCGTGACCACTCTGGCGCTTCCAGGCAGAGCCACAGTGCCTTACCTCAGCCCGTTTTTTTTTTTTCTCCCTGTGCTATATTTGTTGGACAACACTCCCTCTGTTTTCCCAAGGACCAAAAGTAGAAACGCCACAAAACCAGAAGAAAATAACATGATCGTCATGGCATTTCTGGAGCCCGCCCAGGACAGGCCTACGTACGCCAAGCAGGGCCTGTTTTTGTCAGATTGAACAAGCTGGTGCGTGCGGAGCCACCTGCCATTTTAAGCTTCTCTGAGGCAAAGCCGTTCCAGCCGGTTCCTCCCCAGGCCCCTCGGTAGCCGTTCGGCGGCTGCGGCTCACGCCTCAGCAATGCCATCTGGCCCAAAGGGCCTGGACTCGGGACCAAGCGGCGCTGAGGAGACAGTGGGTTGGAAGCGCCGCGTTGGAATACCAGACTGCTGATCCATAATTGATGAATCCAGCAAACTCCTAAGGCACTGTGGCACCCACGCTAAGCTGTCAGTCTCATGGGCCCCCTCCCATTCCCTCTCCCTAGATAAAATATCGTGACAACCTACTGCCAGCGACCCCATTTAAATTTGAAAAACTCTTCTTAGGGGATGGCACGGGAAGCTAGAAACCAAACACGGTCATTTCTCAGCTATAAATCTGCAGGTGTGAAGCTGGGGCTCTGCTGCGTTTGTCCTCTCTCAGCCCTGTACGCGCTACTGGGCAAAACTCCGTCTGCTCCCACGCACGCGAGTGTGCAGGAGGATGCACCAGACCCGTCCCCCTGCCCGTGTTCCTACCAAGTGTGCTGTTTATCCTGGCTGCCTTCAGTAGAACATGCACATACAGGGATGTTGGCTGTATTTAGAATGATAAATGAAAGTAATAAGCTGCAAATTTCATCCCTTCTGCCATGGGCTCTATTTAAAAAAAGAAAATTTCCAACGCGCGGGCCAGGCTCACGGGAAGTTCGGTCATGTGTGGAGCGACAGCCCTTCTCCTCGAGGAGCTGCTGCTTCGCTGCCCAGCCCGCTGCCCACGCTGGGAGCCTGCTGGGCCAGGCAGGGAAGGTGCCCTCTCTTTTCCTCGCTTTGTAACTGGATCCTGGCTCACCCTGTGGACCACGAAAAGGGGATGCGGGATCCTTCCTAAGTTTCTCTTTCCTCCATACTATGTGCTCTTCAACCACCCCACAAATGGTCTCATAGCTGTTAAATCTGGGAGGGAATTTGGATCCAATGAAGACAGGAGGTTTGAAGGACACTGGAATACATTTCTAGATTCCCCCTTGCCCTGACCTCTCCCCCCAGCTTCACAGACTCCCCTCGCGTTGCATCCTACAGTACCGCCCACCATGGGAAGGCAAAGGTGGCCTGTCTCCCTTTAGCTCCCCCTCCTCTATTCCCACCTCAGCTGCTGTCAGCCCAGTCCATGCTCCAGATTTAGGGCAGCAGGGTGCTGGGAAAGGGTGCTGGCTCCCCGGTGGGGGACAGGGAGAGCAGGAGCGCTGCCCCAGTGTGGGAAGTGGCTGGAAGGAGCTCACCCAGACCCCTGCCTGCATTGCCTTCGCTGTGCTGCCTGGGACAGAGCGTTTTCAGCGTGTGCCCATCATGCAGATCCCTAAACACACAAAACATTATTACCACATCATTATAGTGCAATTAGTGCATTCAGCACAAAAAGACCCCCTCAGCTCTAACTGGATGGTAAGTGGATAAGTTAAGTTGGAGATCAGGTGTCATTTTCATCAGATGTCATTCTATATTTTTAGCCATTGACTGGAGCTGGTTTTCAGTTGTTTTAGGCACCAGCTAGCCCCACACGGTTGTGCCCGGCAATGCAGTGTTTGCTCAGCCTCCTAGCACAGGTCTCTGCTCAGCCCGTGCCCCTGCTAATCCCAAGCCCTTGGGCAAAGGGCTCTTGCTGATGCGCTCGGAGGCAGCAGCAGGATTTTCCCCTCCCAGGCGCCGGTGCTAACATCTATTTTGCAGTCTCACATTCTTTCTTAGTATTCCTACTTTGGGCTCCTGGAATTGCTTGGTGCTGGCAGGTCTGTAGGAGTGGATTACACTTTGTTGCACTTAGAGAGTGAATACAGCAACGGCAAAACCGATCATGGCAAAATTCTCCGGTGAAGTTAGCCTCTGGGGACAGAGGGAATTTGCAGCCCTGGCTGACGACAGGACGCGGGGCAGCTATTCAAGTTTCCCACTTCATCCTGAATACAAACTCCAGCTTTCAAAGCCTTCCCAAGAGGTCAGTCTTTGGCCTGGCTCTCCAGACAGTCACTTTGAAGGGCAACCAGTGCAAGCCGTGGGGCTCTGTGTGGTGCGAACGCTGTATCCGTAGAATCCGGTTTGAGACCATGGGCTGGAGGGATAGGGTCAGGATTTTGCCAGCACTGGGCAAGGACCAGGCACCTGGTGGCACAGGCCCATATTGCAGCTCCCTGCTGGCATCGGACTGTCTAGACAGGCAGCGGGGTGACAAAACCCAGCCACTTAATCCAGGGTGCCCAGCACACTTCAGCGGTTTGTCCACACGGGAAAGTTAAGCCCAACTGGTGGAATGAGGGAGCTTAAAGTGGGCTCATTAAAAGCCACATGAACTCTGACTATGGACGCTCTTATTCACTGTTCATACCTCCATAATTCATTTTATGATTTCATTCCCAAAATAAACTAAGCTAAACATGAATTATGGTCCTGGAAACCAAAATAAATGTGTTTACACAGAGATTTAATGCAATTTAATGAAACCATTATAAGGGCTTATTTAAACACATTTTCCCAAGTGTCTCAGACTAGACTAGCCCTCAGAAGAAGCGTTTGCCTATTCATCCATCTCAGTTAAACTTCACACACATTAGCCCCATTTCAGCATGAAGTTTCTAACCTCTCCTGGAGATTGAATATGCAGGAACTGACTGCTTAAGGTAGGAGACCATTTGCATACAGTCCTCAGAACAGTTTCATGGCCCATTTATTTGATTTAAAGAACAGGCTTCACTGCATTTCTTTTTAGCCGCGTTATCGCATCAAAGATTTCCTCTGCTTCAAAGAAAGTCCCTCAGCTCTGCCCAAACCTCTTGGAAACCCCTCCGCAGGGGAAGAAAGACAGGTAGCAAGCTGATTAATCGCAAGCATCGGGGTAGGCTTAGAAACAAGGAGGAGAAGTCTACCTGGAAAGTGCGTCTCTTTATGACCGGAGGTGGAGCCAGCCGCACTGAATTGAGGAGAGGCAACAGCTGAAGAAGTTCAAACCAGAAGGTCGCGGGGCAAAAGAGGCCATTAGGGCACCGAGAGCCAGAGAGCAGCCAGGGGAGAGAACAGAGAAGAGGGGAACAGAGATATTGCCATGAAAACAACCCCCCGCGAGAGAGCCGCGGGTGCGTGGCACAGGTACCTGCTGGCACACCTCTGAGCTCCCCTGCGCCGTGCGCCACTCACGGGGGGGGACTTGTGGTGTCTCGGGTTTGGATTTGGCTCTGCGGCTCCCCTCAGGCAGTGTTTACTGCGAGACATCCCCCCATCCCCCCGCCTCTGCTAAACTCTCCAGGGACAAGACTCTTAATTTCCCATGATTGGATTTGAGGCAGCTATCAAAATGCCAATTGTCTCCAAGTTTTCCAAGTGCTGTTTCCTATTCCTATCTTCCCTTGCAAGAAACACAGCGTATCTCTGGGCCTCACCCTTCCTCGGGGTGTGGAAGGGGATGGAGAGGGGCTAGCCGGGGCCAGCAGCAGGTCCTGGCGTGGTTCATCCGGAGCACAGTCAAGGGGAAGACTGGCCCTTGGTGCCTCAGAGCCCTGAGCAGGATACTGCCTTGGGAGCCTGTGCTTTGCTTTTCCTCGTTTAACGGTAACATCAGCCTCCGGCTGCTTATAGCCAGGAATGCTGCCTTAGGGCACAAAGCTGACCCGGACGCATAGAAATCAAATGCACTAAAGCTCAGGAGCATTTGTTCATCCTTCTGCTGTATCCAGTTTCCACTTGCATGCACGCTGCTGTCAGCATGGCACCCACCGTGCCGGCTCCAGGCCCAGGAATGCTCCTCTGGCCTGATCCACTTTCCTGTTCCTATCAGTTTTCCATTGAAGCTGCTCTTGACTTACACAGGGAGAAGAGAAAGAGGCTTTCCGTGCTGAGGCATGAAAACATGCCCGGGTGCAACGTTTCCCCACGTGAGCTGTGCACGCAGACCCGAGAGGTGTGCCCACAGGTCTCCCACCGCGGCATCCATACGCATCCAAGCAGCGCACTTTAATCCCTCTAAACGCCATCCATCATGTTTGCAGCAAAAGAGAGGATCCAGTCCTGTTGCAAAGTGAAGTGACAACCCAATATTGCAGCATCGCCGCCCTGTGACCAGCCGTTGTGTCCGAATGAACTGATCCAGAGAGCCACAGCTGTCACACAAAAGCAGTGCTGCCGGAAAATCAGCCGGGCCGATTATGCCTGAAGGAAATCCTTCTCTTTCTAAAAGACAGCACAGGAGGCCCCATAGCTCAGGAGAGCGTTCAGGACCCTAGTGATCTCCTCAAAGGGGATGTTGCTGTAAATCCCCACGCCCCCATGCCAGGCGTGCCCAGCACACATCTGTACGCGTGGCCCAGACCCAGCTGAGCTGGCTTTGCCGGGCTCCTCAAGTGCTGGAGTGGATCTGAAATAGCATGCAGCCTCCAGGATGCTGAAAAGGATAAGGAGGAACATCGAGAGAAGTAGTCCTGAAAAGAGGCAAGACAAGACCCAGCTATGGATTTGGGTGCAAGTGTGAGAGTTTAGAGAAGAAACCTGAAGCCTCTTCCACCCAGCTCCTGCCCTACCCCCTCTGTGTCCCAATGGCAAGGTTTTTTCCAGCAGGCAGCGTGCAATATTGGATCTGCATCCTCGTGCCTTTGCAACAGAACCGGGTCCCGTCAGACTGTCACCCACAAACCTTTAGCGTAAGGATCTGGTTAGAGCGCAGGGCTGCAAGGGTGGTACTTAGGTATTCCTGGGGGACAGTGAAGACACGTAACACAAATGGGGTCAGTTACACACAGAACATTTCTGACAGCAGACGGAGCACGGCTGATCCCCCCTTTTCCTAGGCTGAGCGCCCTTCCCCAGGGTGGCCGCAGCTCGAACGGGCAGCTCACACGGAACGGGTAGTCCCGTTCCTGGCCTTGTCCCTCATGGCAGTGCAGGACATACAGGCTCATACAGAAAAAAATAGGAAACTACAGCATGAGCCAAGGCATACATCCTAGCCTTACATTTCCTTCCTAAGAAAACAAAGACGAAACAAAACTGAAACAACATCCCTGTTTTTTTCAGGATGGTGGTTTTCATTTCCTTGCCCAGAACATCCAACAAAGGACAGCGACTTTACTGGTCAACCAGTAAAGCAAGAAAAATTGCACTTTAGTCAAATTGCAGCATTTTTACAACAAAGCTCATCCTAATTTTCATCTGGGGAGGAAGAAAGGGAGCTGCAGCTCTGTTGCTGATTTGTGCCTGTGACTGGACCCTTCGGGACAGCCCACCCTTGAGCTGATCTGAGGACAGTCACCCTTCCCGTAAGCATGTCTCTGCCTTGGGAGGACTCATGGGCTTTTTAAAGTGTTGAGCTTGCTGCCTGATGAGACCAGAAGCACCTCCATGAGAGCCAAAGAAACATCGCCAGGCTTTGCTGGGATGTGAGGCTTTGCACCAGCCCTTCCCCTGCTGTCACAGCCCTGCGGCATGTCACCCTGGGCTGCCTACAACCCTGATCCACCAAACTGGTATGCCTTTGCCCCCAGGTCCGAGCACAGGCTCCTCCCAGTGATGCACAACCTGCATCTGAGTTTCCCAGTGTTGCTGCGGGTCTTGCCACTGCTGTTCACCTTGAGGACTGAGGACAGTCGGAGCCAAGGGCCGTAACAGGAGCCCAGGGCACCTCTTGGGTGAACGTTGTTGCTAGCTTCTTTTTAACATAACAACCTAGTGAGCCAGCTCGCCTAAATAAACACAGCTGACCGGCTATTATTGTACAGGACTGGCACGCAGCGATGGCCCTCACCTCCCTCACCGCCAGCCCAAGCTCTCTCCCGTGCCTCAGAGCATCCAGAGCCTTGCTCCCCGTGGGCCAGGGACCAGAGCCCAGCTAATTGTGCAGAGGCCCGTCAGAAATAAACAGAAAGCCTTTAAGCCTGTCTCCCTGTACACCCAGATTACAAATTCCAGCCACTTCATATGATGTCGTTCCAACGCATTTCCAGCGGATTTTCAGCACTCCGGTTGTTTTTAGAGCTGCTTAAATTTTACCGCTGTAATCCCTTCAAACCCCACGATGTACTCTCTCCTCTCTTGGCTGCGGTGTGTGTCAGCCAGGCCAGGACAAAGAGGCAAGTGGGGCAACATCCTGGCTTCCGTTCAATGGTTGCTGGCGCTAACCCTCCCTCTTTGCCTTTTTTTTGCAGGCCTGGGGTGCCAGCATGGGGACCGGTTCACCAAGGACCAGCCGGAGCGCTGTGGCCAGGGGCAGTCACAGTTACTTTTGGGCAGGGAGCACAACCCTTCTCTTTGTCTCTATGCAGGGTTGAGGCCAGCACGAGGGAGAAGAAAAAAGGAAGAGCGACAACAGGTTCTCCCCGAGGTCTGCAGACCCTCCGCTGCTCCTGGCCGCGGCAGAGTCTGTGGAAGCAGGATGGAGTTGGTGCAGCAGCACAAGGTGTGAGTGGGTGCCCTCTACTCCTCCAGAACCCCCAGGTTCCACTGGGCTTTGGGGTGAGGATACAGACCTTCCCCGCCGTGGCACAGAGCACGGGAGGGTCTGCAGGAAGCAGCAATGACAGCATTTAGCTGGGGGTCAGCCACGGTGGGCAGGAACAGAGCAGAGAACCAACAATCCCTCCTGGAAAAGCTTATCAGCTGCTTCTCTGCGAAACACATCAATCAGCCGAGCGCTGCCCTCGGGGCCCGGATGACGCATCTTGTTAATGAAACCATCTATATTTCCAACAAAAAGCCATTCAAACGAAGGAGGATTAACATGCAGGAAGGCACGGGACAGACGATAATAACGCTAATCACTTACCCTGTGCGGGTACTCTGCACACTGACCCTGTGAAAGAAGGGGATTAAAAGGGAAGAGTTTAAACCACAAACAGAAAGGACCAGAATAGACACACGGGGTCAGATCCAGAAGGTGTAAATCATCGTGACTGTATTGAATTCGGTGCAGCTATGTCAACTTGCTCCCGACGAGCACCCTGCCTCCTGTCCCCTCTCTCCCCAGAGCCCCTCTATTCTTGCTGTCTTTCTCAGCTACTACTCAAAGCCAGAATGAGCATCACCAAGCCCACCGAGTCCCTTTTCATTTGGTTTTCAACACACCTCCCGTTAAAATTACCTTTTCTCCTTTTTGTCCAGGGGGTCCCTATAAAAGAAAAGCGATTAAAATTAAAAAATCCCTCAGTAAATGAAGAATTCAGTGCATGCAAGGCGAAGGGATCAGGAGGAGGCATGATCGCAAGAGATGGGATACTTACGGGTTGTCCCCTGGGACCTGCAGCACCCTTGAAAGAAACACATTATCGTGAATGCGAGATGGATTCCCGTTTACAGTGACAAGAAGACAAAAACTCTCAGTGTGTGGAGTAGGAAACTCAGCTTTTAAAAACAATGGTGGAGAAAAGTTCCCGAGAGAGATCTGGGTTCCCTTTGTTACTCTGGAGGAGTGAAAACGCTCACATGTTCTGGCTGCACTGCGGGGGGCAATTATTAAAAGGAGAGGGGAAAAATCATCAGGAAAACACACCCTTATTGTTCCCAGGACCTCAGCTGACAGCGCATCTCCTTGGTTGAGGCTCTGGGATGGAACCAGAAGCAGCCAGGACCGACGCCTGAGCAAGGATTGTGCAATGTCAGCTCAGCCCTCCGCTGAGGAGCGGGGAAGGGGGGTCTTCAACATGTGCTTGCCAGAGGGTTACGCTGACGCTCAGGCTCAAAGGACAGAATTAGCAGTAGAAAACGTTCAGCGTTTCACTGAGGGAAGGTGACTACAGGGCTGCTAGCTTGGCATGGTTGTGTTCGGGGACTTCATCACCAGAGATGTCAAGAGGAACAAAACAACGTTTGTGTTTCCATCAAGCGTGGCCTAAGTTTATCATTTTCAACCAAAAGCATTTCAGTGCGATGCACATATGAAACAGAGCTTCGAGAGGGGAAAGAGAGATATTTAATATAAAAAATATGCCCCCGTTTTTTTGGTTAGATAAGTTGAAAGCTGCCAGATGGGTTTTCAGAAAACTTTCCATCAACTTTTACTTCTGCTATGAGGCCAACCACAAAAAATGTCAGCTCCCAGAGTATATTTAAAGAACGTAATTGCTAACTGCAAGGGAAACATATCCCATACATAACTAGAGAGTGGCTGTTGTGACATGATGAATCTGATAGCCATAATGTAAAAATTACAGGCGTACATCCCAGCACTGCTATTATGAAGTTACAGAACTGGGGAGGCAGCTAGTGCGTTGGCTGAACCGGGATCGCTACCCTGCCTGCGTGCTTGTCTCCAGCTGAGAGGCAACGTCATTTCCAACCAGCCCATCACCCACAGACAAACACAGAGTTTTTTACCATCTCTCCCTTCTGTCCAGGATGGCCCTGAAAAAGAAAGAAAACATGCATCAGCTTCAGCCACTGCAGTCTCGAGACGACATTGGCTTAACCCGCCTACCCCTCGCCCCAGGAGGTGCCCGCAACCTGCCAAGGGACACGCAATGCCCTGCACATGGAGCTTTGCTCACACACCTAACGGGACACCGCTCCCTGCTACCCAAAATGCTGAGAACAAAGCTCTGGAGGATGAATACGGGGTGCAAAGGCTCTGTGGGAGTGCAGACTTCAGCGAGTGCATGGCGTTGCGCCTTGCCGGGATCACGTGTGTGTCCCCAAAGCAGCACAAGAGACGCTGCTGGGTCTCTTTTGACAGTGATGTTCCCCATGGCCCTGCTGTAGGAAACGAGGTGCCAGAGGTACATGCTACTAGCTCCTTCCCCACCACAGTATGGCTAGAGGAAGTCTAACAGGGAACTTGACTAAGGGGCAGCCTGGAGGTATGGGTTTTGTGTCAGCTGGGTTCAGAGGGAATTAGCTATATTTGTGCCTCGCTCTCTGAAGGATGGGAAGAACTTAGGTGTCTCTCTCCTACAAAGCTGATTATAAGCTCTAAAGATAGCATGGAGGTCTTTAGGTTCCTTTCCTCTTCTACTGCAACCCTTTGCAGCACAGCCGCCAAAAGAAAGAAGCTATAGGGTCGACTTCAAGCGAAGCTGTCGGCTGCCTATGGCAGGGGGCTGGTGCCCAGGGGCCTGCTCTGCCTGTCCGATTCGGGATGGGAGAGCCTGCTAAGGCTTTCCCGGCAGCAGCCAGGCTGTTGCACTTGTGAAGTGCTGCTTTGTAGATTTGCCTAGAAAGGAAACAGCCTCTCTCTGCCTTCCCTAATCTCTTGACTCCTGCATCTTCCCCCCCTCCCCAAGGCATCTGCGGTATCCTCCCGCCTGCCAAGCTTCTACTTTTCTTTTAAGCCATGCATGTGCATGACATTGCAGAATAATCCTCTTAAAAACACACTCTATAACAGGCAGGCTGGCAGGAGAGCGGGACATGGCAGGAGGCAGGGCAGAAACCTTTGGGAGAAGCGGTTTGCTTACCGGTTTGCCGTCCAAGCCAATGGGGCCCTGAAATAAAAAAAAGGAGAAGTGATGAGAAATGCTTTCATCGGGGTGTCTGTCCATCTGCACCAGCAAGCAGCACGTGTCGCAAGACTGCATCTCCCCCTGCCCGCCCGCCGAGTCCTGGCTGCTCCCCGGCCCACCAGCTACCAGCCCAGCTTCCCAATTACTTCTGCAAGGACCTGCTCGCTGTCAGCCCATTCCAGCAGCAAGGCTGGACACAAGAAAGGAATGGAAAGGAGGAGGGATTCATGGGCAATTTGCAAAAAAACCCTCAGCATATCAAATTGTGTGGTGTCCTGTAAACGCGTTGAAAATCAGCAGTTTTTTTCCAAGACCTTGGTTTAAAAAGGCACCCACTTTTGGGGGAAGAGGAATTTTTTGCAGATGATAGAACAATAAAAGTGTCCCAGGGAAGAGGTGACACAGCTCAGCAGCATTCTGAAGGTACTATTTGATGAGAAACAGGCTCCGTAGAGCGCTGTCCCACCCGGCACTTTCTCATGATCAGGGCTGATTTGTTTTCTACGCCTCTGAAAGCCAAAGACCTCAAAGGCCTGGAGGGATCTGCTTCTCCTCAGCCCAGGCGCAGCTCACAGCCCCCCTTTTCGCCGAGGGCAGAACCACGGAGCCCGGTCAGACAGCTCGGAGGCTGCCAATTCCTCCTGTTTTCCAGGCGGGAGAGTCTCCCCCGCAAACCTGCTCTGGCCCATCGCGTGTCCTGGAGCAGCAGCTGAGCTGCCTGGCGGGAACAGGGATGCGGGGGGTGTTTATGTTTGCCTTGGGCTTCCTAGCCGTCCGGGATAAATGCATACAAATAAATAGCAAGCGCCCGAGTTTTCCAGCAGCCCCAGCGCTTCAGCAAGCATTGCCAGCAACTGTAGGACCGAAAAGGAATTTGCCTGGTCCTCTCCTGAGCCTGTTTTCTGTTCCCTCGCCCACCTGTAACAGTGCTGGAGAAGAGTCCCTCTTCCTGCTTTCTCTCCTTTCCCCTTGGCACGGCCAGGGTGTTCAGCCTCGCACGGTCCCCAGCTGACCTACATCATGCAGGGCCCCGTCTGAATCACAGGCACGTGCTGCTATTCCAAGATCACCTACAGGCTCAGTTAAGGTTGGAATTTCACCTACCTACTGGTTATTTTCTTTGTTTGGGGGTATTTCCTATTTTCTTTTACTGAACAGATTTGGCTTCAACTATGTTATTTTAACACTTGGGTGGTTTTTTTAAAATTAATTTCCTTTCGGAGTTGTGTGGTTTGGGGTTGGTTTTTTTCTTGGTTTTTTTCCCCTAAGTATCATTTAAAAGAAAAAAAAAAGGAAGAAAAACAAATTAAATAAAAATTACTTTGTCCAGTGATATCAGATCAGGTCCTTGGTTTCAGACAGAAATGATGAGATACAGCAAGCGCTAATGAGGCTTCCTGGTAACATCGCACACCTCATAAATTAACAGCCACACTTACCGGGAATCCAGGAAAACCTCTTGTTCCAGGCTGTCCCTGGGAAGGAGAAACGGAGACAGCATTTTAGAGGAACTGAAGTGGATTTTGATGGACTCTAAGTCCTCTCTACGGAGCCTTTCCTCCAGCCTCTGCCCATTTATCCTATGGCTCTCTGAAGAGTTACCCAAGACCCAACTCCCCTCCAAGGGGAAAGTGTCTTGGGAAGGAGGGGAAATGTCTCACCCCCACTCCAATTTGTACAGGGCCAAGAAAATGCTGGAGCAGGTCCAGTTTGGACAGCGAGCAGTTTTCTTGAAGTTTCTACATTAATTAAATGGGTGTCCCTAGCCCATACGTTAGGCTTTCGGAGTATATTCCAGAGGCTGAGCTCATTTTATGGCAGTTCTTGCTGCCATAAACTGGAGGCGTTTAATGCAGGGTGCTGCTCCATGCAAGACAAACCTTGCAGGTCACTGATGTCTAAACACAGCCATCCCTCTTCTCCTCCTCCCCTAATCTCATGTCCCAGTGCATTCATTTTCCTCACAAATAATTCTGGAGAAGAGATGGTTTGGGGTTTTTTTCTTTTGTGTTTTTTTTTCCTCTGAGAGCAAAGAGAAAAAGAAGAGTTAGGTAGTGTGATGAGAGGAACATGAGCACCAAGTCCTTTCCCCTGACTCTTTCTGGCTAGCCAGTGTTGGCTGCCAGTCTGGGATCAGGTACAGCAAACACTGGCTTGGGATGTGTTTGGCAGCTTCTTCATCACCCACTTAAAAACACTGAAGAAAAAAAAAAAAGAAAATATCCTGGCTGTTAATTTTTCACAGTTCTTCTGGGACCTGTGACATCCCAGCTCACAGTTCCCTGGGCTCATGGGTTTTCAGTAAAGACACCACTTTACTTAAGGAGTTTTTAATCTCATTTTCCCAAAAAATGCGTGAGCCAAGTCAGGAAGCAATATGGACCAGACTTGAGGAGATCTGGAAGCACACCCATGTAGATGGAAACATGGATGAGGTAAATCCTGTACCACACTCATCGAGTGACCGCTGCTGCCTGAAAGCCATGCTACCGTGCCAAGAAACCCGGGTTTCTTATGTGTTCTCCTGCTCCATTCCGGGGAAGAAAACGCTTTCTTAGGCAATTTGAGATACCATGACTGGGCTGTTTGAGTCCCACAAGGGTCCTAGGAAGAAGCTGCGCGTAAACAAGGGTTTGCTGCTGAAAGGAAACGCACGCGGGTGCATCTCTGCCTTAACCAGAGCGATCCCATGTGGTGCCAAGGGAAGGGAGGGAGGGGACAGGCCTGTGATGCTGAGGTTTGTCACAGTGAAGCAATGACAATCCCTTGGGAGAGATCTCAAAGCCACATCAGCAAGGAAAACCCTCACCTTCAGGTTAGGTCTCCTCCCACCTCCCTCTCTCCACAAAGATACTGGATGAAGGTTTACCCCTCCAGAGGATGAGGCCAAATAACATCTTTGCAGACCTCGGGGGATGCCCCTACCACAAAACGCCCCATGTTGCACTGAGCCGTTCTGGCTTTATACGTGACGCTAGCAAGACCTAATCGCATTTGCACTGTTGTTTTAGTTCTGCAAAGTTGAACTTGGTCAGCTTTGCTTTGCAAGATACATATAAAACCACCTGGTCTTGTTGGCCAGTGACCAGGAGGGAAGATACACTATAAATTAAAGGATCTGTCCACCGCTGCTTTCAAAAAAGGCAAGAACCAAGAAGAGCCTAGCCACAATTCATTAATTTTGGTTCCCTGTTGGACACCTCCCTGGACAAGAAGTGCTAAAAAAAGAATTAGGGAGAAAACCTGGAAACGGTGCAATTTGGCTTCCTCTGTAGACTACAGACTGCTGCCTCTTTCTCCTTGGAGGACGGCAGAGTGATTTGCACAGTATCAGGCCAAAACAACAGTTCAGCAGCGAGTGCTTCCAAGAGACTGTTTTTGTTGGGTGGCTGTTTTTCCTTGTCTTCTTTTTAAAATGTTGATCGTATGAAGTATGTAATCCTGGGAGCTGCCAAATCATGGAGACGGTCTGTTTCTGCCACTATCGGCGTACTGTCCCTCTCTGGCCAGAAGTTAAGCAGCTCTGAGCTCAAGCAAAAACTTTAACCTCCAAACAAAAAAATCTGGAAACTATTTGTCATCCCACATCTTTCCGAGTGGCCCCTTGGCCAGGGTTTCCGTGTTTGTCTTCAGTGCTCAGCCATCCTTTTGACCTATCACCAGCTCCCCGGGAAACTGGATCATCTTCACAGTAGACTTTGGGGGTGGAAGCGTGGAGTTGTGCCAGTCCTGGCACCTCGGGGCTTTGACTGGTGTAGGCAAAAGCCCTTTTTCGTTTGGGTTTTTTTTTTTTATTATCTGCCATCTATGTTTTCTGCTGCGTTGGAAATGCAACGTGTTCTGCGCTTTCCCAAACAGCAGCAGAGGCAATGAGGCAAAGCAGCAGCACCAAAGCAGACATTAAAAATCATCCTGCAGACCAGGCATGTGTCCATCAAGAAAACAGCGGTGCCTGTCTCCATTTGCAGGACCGACAGGGATTGATGGCTTTTCTCTCCAGTTACTATAACCACACTATATCCAGAAGACCGAGAGCTACAGCTTGTGAGAAACAGCAAAAGACGACGGGGCATTTACAGTCAAAAATCTGCAGTTTGCGGAGCAGGGTGGTCTCGCGCAGAGCCTGGCATGGAAAGACCTGCCAGCCCTTCCTCCGCAGCCGGCCACGTGGCCAGGGACCGCCTGCGGTGTAGAAAACACTTGGTGGGTATAAAACACTTGGGGGGACCCATTTGTGTCCTGGGCTTTGGTTCTGCCGCTTCTCGAGCTCCAGCGTGCCAGGCAGGTGGGCTTGGGAACCGGCAAAGCTGTTTCTTATTAGAAACACTTATCATGGGGCTTTTGGAAAGTTAATTGGAAAGACAGATGTAGCCAAGTGCTCGCGCTGCCTAGGTCTCTCTCACTTGACCTCTGCTGTGAAACAAAAGTTGCCGGCGGCCCATCCTCTCTGCAGGTCAAGGACGGTACTCTTCACAGGTTAATCAAAATCGGAAGTGCCCACTGCGGGGGAGAGAATTAAGTCTCCGCGTCTTTTTTCATGGAAATCTCTGGTGGAGGCTGTGCGGGGATGGAGTGGAGAGGGCTGGCTGCATCCACAAAAAAGCAGAGGCTTGACAGCTGAAACGCCGGGCGCACA